CAGAATACATGCTTTTTGTTACTGTGTTTTTTTCCTCATTCAAATACTTAGGAGGTGCTTGAAGGAATGAGAGACATATAAACATATGGGAGGAAGGGAAGAAAGGAGAGAGAGAGAGAGATGGACAGATATAGGTTTCCCTCACTTTATGCGGGTTCTGTATGTGTGAATTCACTCTTACACAATGACCCTTTTATACCAAAACTTCATTATATGCAAGGTGAATTCACTCTTATGTGATTGGTGTGGTGGAAGCCCGCAGTCAGCTGCTTTGTGCGGTGCATTGTTGGAGTGATGAGCACCAAAATATAGTCTCCTGTGTGGAACTGCGCTTGTCATTCGTTGTCTGCAACACGTTTCTGTAGTTGCCATCCCCATTATGATAGCGCCCTGTGCTTGTGTGTACTGTCTGCTGTTGGTGAGTACCAAAAGTGTCTTGTAAAAGTGGTAGAAATGGGTCTGGGGGTCAGTATGGTTGAGATTTTGGAACGTATCTCTATTTGTTACATTGTAAAGTAGGTTTCCTTTATGCAAATTCAAGTTACACTCCATATTCCAGGAACACATGTACAGCATAAAGCGAGGGAAACCTGTAGACAGACATGAACTCTGCACCCACACTTCATCCCCCAAAGCCCTTCATGACTCATGTACCCACCACTGCTGCTCTGGGGCTGCCCTTTGGAACTGCAGAGAAAGGAACCACAAATGAGGTCACATTAGTTGAAATAGTTCAAGGCGTTTGCACACTTTGGGGCAGCTGGTAGAAGTCACTAGGGGAAACTTTGCTGTCCCCATTCCCTCAGTTATGAGGCAGGGCAGGCACTGACTACCCCTTTGGATAGTTGTGCTTTGTCCAAGCAGTCAGCCAGGGATTCTGACTTACCCCAGGAGTCTTTAAGGCATCTTCCTAGCTGTTTGACGCTCAAGCTCTGATCCACAGCTCACTAAAATTAGTACGGAGTCTTCCATTGAGTTGAGTGAACTTTTATTCAGGCCCTCCATCAGACATGCTCTCTAAGAGACAAAGTGGGACTGATGCTGTTTTAGAATTAGAGGAGGGGCTGATAATCGAGCAGCATAACTGTTGGTGGGGGCACAAAAATGGTCGCCACCAGGGTTCAAATTATGGGGGAGCTTGGGTGGGGTCTGAGCGCCCCCACAAGAAATGAAAGCCCCCCTGTAAGATTTGAAAATCATAACCTGGGGGGGAGTCCTCCAATTTTATTAGGGCATTGTGATGGGCAGTCCGATTTTTTTTGCAGACACCTTCCCCTCCCCCACCCCCCCAACCCCTGCAAAAGTCAAAGTGTAATTTGAACCCTGGCTGGCACCCCAGCAGGGGCTCACTGAATCACTGCCATTGACAGCTGTTGCTGTCCTGGGTTTAGAGCTGACCTACTATGCCTCTGTGATAAGGTGGCAAGAGCCCAGATCCTTGTGTTCCAGTTGCACATGTTGCTGGCAATGGAGATAGCATGAAATCCATGTTATAGCAGGCACACAACTCAGCTGGTTGGATTCCACTTGGTCCAGAGCTGTCCAGCTCCTTGACAACTGGGGACTGTTCACTAAGGGGTCACACAGCTGCCCCAGAGGTACACCCACAAGGGAAGGGGAGGGAGATGTTCCCTCTTTTCTCTGTAGGACTGATCCCATTCAGAGTCAGGGCTAATACATTCCTGTCCCCTCATCCCCCAGTAGCACTGCCAGAGGTTTCATTCACTTGCTTGAGGTCGCACCATGAGTCTATATCAAAGTGCTTCACTACCCCCAGCCCAGGCTACAGCATCCAAGATCCAGGGAGCACTTCCCTGTACCACCTGGGCTTCCCCAACACAGGCTCCACTCAATTGTTTTGTTACTATATGGCACTCTGAAGCTCAACTGCCCCATACCTCAGACTAGGGCATTTTCAGTTGTGAGCTGAATAAATAAAATGTTATAGGGTAGATCTGGTAGACAATCTGCAGGATGGATATCCCTGTCCTTGTCGGTGAGTAGGTTACATTATAGAACAAATAAATGCCTATGAAAATTTTCTTGGTTGCTTTCACCATATGTATTTGGGCTTGACTTAGGGTAAGAGTCCTTTGCTTTCATTTGTGAAGTATCTAAGTAAGTCTAGCACCTAGGAAGAGAATTCAGACATTTTACCTATGAGGAGAAGGAAAACAGGCCAAAAAGAATAAAGGCTAGCATTTTTTTCTTTAAGTCATTTTTGACAAACTGTGCTTAAATTTTTTTATTACCGTATTTTCTTGCATACCACATCCCCCCAATTAAGACACAGCCTGTTTTTAGGAAGGCAGATTGAAGGGAAAAAAAAGATGTTTCCAGAGCTATGGCCACAAAGAACAGGGACAGAGACTAATCATAAGCTCACTCACCCACTCTTCAGTTCCTGCTTAGGCAAAAAGCTACAGTTTAAACACCTGAAATGTAAGCAGCTCTTAGTTGCTCAGCTAAAAGCTGAAAATGGAGCAGCTGCTGAAGACTGGAATCCATGGGTAGATATAATATTTTGAAAAGAGATAAAAACAGTCTGCAGGGCTGGGAAATAAGAGAGACCAGGAATAGCTAACAGATAGCAAAAATGAAAAAGAAAGACTAGGATAATTAGTGGAATAGTAAGGCCATTAAAAGGGAGAAAGGGATGTTAACAATTGTGGAGTAAAAAGCAATTATCAGGAGTCAGGTAGATTGTAATGAGCCATGAAGTCAACTGACTCTGTCAGTGCTGCCTAAATAGAAATGCCACTACTTCTGCTGGGCCGTTGGTTTTAAACTGCAGAAAATCAGCTTCCTTACTACAGATGCATACCCCAATTTTGGAAGGCTATTTTTGGGGGGAAAAAAGGGGGGAAAAGAATGTGGCATGTAAGTAAAAATGGTATTTTATTTGGAACCCTCAAATATCTCATCTGAGAGATATGTGTGTGTGTGTATATTTACAACGGCGTCTTTATAATCATATATGTGCACTCATATTCACACACACACAGCTGCATGTTGCCTCCACGTATGGTATTTGCTACCAGGGAACTACACAGGTTCTGCTGTAGTACTTAGAGTCTCTCAGGCCAATCTCTTTTTCCTCTAGAGACTTTGAACAGGGCCCCGGCTGTAAAAATCTGGAGCTAGAGTTTGCCGTGTACTCATTTCCAGAATATTCCTCTCATCCAGAACTGATGAGCCTAGAATATTCATTGAGAATATAACTACCAAAATTAAACAAGGAACAGAGCTAGAGAAATAAACCCCACATTTTACAATCCTATTCATTCTTTCTTTTCCTTGTTTCTAGCTGAAAAATAATTGTACCTTCTCCCACCTTAATCATTTATGTGGGTAAAAATTGCAGTGCAGAAAATAATAGCATGGAACATTTCCTTAATTGCCTAATAGGCAATGCAAGTAAAGCACTTGCTGGTAAATAATTGTTTCTTGATATTTCCTCTTGAACTATAGAGCCTTTCCATGATGCAGAATTAGCTGGGGTGTTCAGCAGTCCCGGCAAGTAAAGGCAGGGCAAGGATTGGTAAGGAGATAGGGTGGCTATGCCAGTCTGTCTCCTTATCTGTAAGCTGTTGACTGGGATGCTTTCTCCACCATCCACTGGTGAGCTGTATGAAGAGATCTCAGTAACAGAACTTATTTGCTTATACGACACTTGCCATGCTAAGGTGATCAATTGGAGGGAAGAGAGGGAGAGAGATTAAATTCAGGTTGTTGTAGATGTGTACATAATGAAATGCAGCTATTCTCAGTGTGAGCAAAGGGCACCAGGACTAAGCTTAATATTCTCGGGGGGGGTCATTATATCATAATACTGCAAACTATTCTCATGTGTAAAGTTAGGCACAAGCAGTTTGCTGAAATGGGATGACAGTGATACCAAGAGGTCTTGGCTGTCATTTTTGGGGACTGAAGCCTTCTTTTACAAGGGAAAGCTAGCTGAGCTAGAGCTAAAGTTGCTTATCACCTTCTGTTTGAAGGCAGAGTATTTAAGGTCTCTAAAATTGGTATGCTTACCTGAGTTGCCTGGAAATTTGCTGTTTTTTGGCCTTGTAGTATAGGATTGGATATCCAAATATGGGATCACTTGAGGAAGTGATCCCCCTCCTAAAAAGGACCCCCTGAAAAGGGAATTTTACAAACTTACCTGTTTGTTATATTATTTTTGCATACCCCAGGGCTCAAACTCAGGCTTTACTTGACCTTCAGTGGCTTCATGTGAATCTCCTCCTGTGGTAAATCTTCTTTATGCAGCCTGGTGCCTCCACTAAGACTACATAAAGGGCATTGTTTGCGATGATGGGGTTTTGTGATGTGGATACCTCCCCCTACACCTCCTGCTCAACTTCTTTGAGCAACAGAGGAATTTGGAGGCAGAATTTCAGTTTAATCCCATCTCTATTTGTTAGTTCTAAATTGCTGGCTAGAAACCTGAGAAGACTTTGGCAGCCTGCCACACTATCAACAGCTTTTTGGAGCAACTAGAGTGAAAGCATTATCACAGTGGTGTGCTGCCACTGCTGGGGATTGCTACCAAGTCTGTGAGAGCCATACCAAATGATTTTGCAGGGAGGCACAACCACAGAGGCAGCCAAAGCACCTTCCTTACACCCCTTCGAAGCAATCTGTTTTCCAGCGATACTGTTTGCAGAGCACATGCAAGCACTAGAATACAAGATTAAAAGTCAGGGCCAGCACAGCACCGGTATTTGCATCTCAGCTCTCAGTTTATTAGTATTTTGGGTGCCATTTGATTTTTTTCAGATGTTTTTCATGGGCTTCTTTAATGTCTGTTGGGGATAAAGCCAACATACTGTGTATGGAAAAGAAATATAATAAAACTCAGATAGCACCGTCACCTTATGCCTGAATCTATTATTTCTCCCTTGCAGGAGAACACACATTTTCAAATAAAGTATAAAATGACAGTTTTTATGGTAATTACATTTTGCTACATGCTTTCAGGAAACTCCGTTGCCACTTTGAAAAGCCTCTGCCAACAAAGCCAAACCCCAGCCCATATCCAGCTGCCTGCTGCTGGAATTGCCAGTGTCACAGCTTCTGTGCCAAGCTGCCAGGCAGAAAGAGTTCATTGCACAGGGGATGGCAAGAGCAGGCCTTTCCACTGGTAAGAGTCCAACCTGGTTTCCATTCAAAATAGTTGTAAGAGAGTCTGAAAGTGTCAGCATTTTCATTTGAAAATGTGAGAAATCTAGTTTTTATTCTATCCTATTGCTCCTCAAAAATGGGAGCATATTTCAGAGTGCAATTGAGTTCAAGAGCTCATCATTCAGATAAAAAAGCAAAACAAAACAAAAATCCTTTCAATAAATGCATCCCTCTGGAAAGCATGTTCTGCTTCCACATCGAATGAAAGGAAGGAGGCAGTGGTATAAATCAAGCTGAAAGGATAAATCCTTCAGTATACTCACTTGGTTTTGCTTCCCTACCTCTAATGCTACCACAGCAACACTTTTATTCATCTTAAGAACTAACTTGTAACTTCCCTGCCAGTGCTGAGAGCTGCTTGCCATACAGATCACAATCTCCTCGTTGTTCCTTTCTGCTCAACCAACTTGTTTATTGCAACCACCTGTACTCTCTGGTCTCACAGTTAGATTGCAAGCCCTTTTGGTCAGGGAATGCTTTTGTTCTGTGTTTGTGCACTGCCTAAAAATTGCAGCTGAGATGACTAAATATTACCTTAGTTCAAGTAATAATAAAACATTGATTTGGTCTACTAAAATTTACACTGTGTTTAGACCTGAGTCAGATACTACAACCCAAAATTCTCTGCCACTTTTGTATTTTCTTGGTTCTGGGCAGTTCCAGAACCCCCACCAATCTTTAGACAGTGCTGAGGGCCTGGCTAAACTAGGGCAGTGCCAAGAGGCAGCCACATGAGTGACAGCACTTGCCAGAACCTCTGGGCCAAGGACAGACATTCTTAAAGCCCAAGACTGAATTGATTCAATCTTTGCAGGTTAGTCTAATCTGCATAGATTGAACTGATTTTCAAGTGAATAGACATTCACTTTTGATTCTGGAAATGCAGTCCCATGCCTGCAGTGGCTCAGGCTACAAGCCAGGGAGTGCAAAAGCAAGCCATCCCTTCCCTTCAGCAGCCGCAAGGCTGGAGGGAAGGTGACCTGCGGGGTGTGGCCAAGCCCACCGGCAGGCTGCTAATTATGATTGGGGAGGAGTTTAAACTCCCAACTGGCCTGCAGGGACCCCAACCGGGGTGTCCCTGGAGGGGAAGGGGGGAAGCAGCCCTTGCTAGGCTTGTCCCAGAGGGGGGAAGGGGGGCTTGGCCAGACACTCACCCAGGCAGCAACTCACGCAAAGAGGGACAGGGAGGGGGATTAAACTCTCCTGTCTCTCCTCTCTCCCATGGGCATGAGGACCCTAGCTGCAGTCTGCCTGGCTTTCCCCCCTGCTTACTGTTCGTGGAGCAGGGGGCCTGACCAGAGCTGGCCAGCATGGCCCTGCCTTGTGCCCAGGACTGAGGCTTGGGCTGAGGCTGGCAGTGGGGATGCATCTGCAGGGCTGAACCGGGCTGGCCCACAGGTGCTGCTGAGGGTGGATGCGGAGAGGCCAGCCCAGACTGGGCTGCAAGGGCTTGGCCCTTTCCAGCTGGCTGGGGCTTGAGCTGGAGCTGCAGGAGCTGGGTGCTCAGGTTACTCCCGGCTCTCCCCACCCAGGCCAGGATGGGCTGTCACGGAGCTGCAGCTGGCTGAGAAGGGCCCAATGGTGCCAATCCAGACTGAGCCATGGGGGCAGGGGCCCTTCCTAGCTGACTGAAGGTCCATGACAGCCAGCCAGGCACTGGTGTGGAGGCAATGCTTCTGCAGCATCTTGGCTGCTGGACTGGCTGCAAGGGGTGTGTTAATTGTGCCCATGGCTTCTGGTGAGGGCCATCCCTGATGTCTGGAGCAGACAGCACAGCCCAGCCCAGGGCTGAAAAGCATGCTGGGATGCTGGGAGATTCTGGTTTAAATAAGGAAGGGGTCTAGGATAGAAGTTCCATAAACTGGTTTGACCCAAATCAGTTAAGTCTGATACTACATTCAACCAGGTTTATCTTAAACTAGTTTTGGCCATTTTGAAACTGGCTTATGCGTACTGAATTTATGCTCTGTCACAGGTTTAAATTAATTTCTGGTCATTTAAACCGATTTATGTGTAACTTCTGTCCCTAGTCCTTGTGTGCTGCAGCCCATGCCTAGACAAAAGCCTCCTTTCCCAGCTCCATTTCAGGCATGTCACCTTAATCAAGTCTTGCAAAGAGGTCCTTAGAAGGCAGACTTACAGTTGCCTTGCCCAGTGCCTGTACTGGACGAAACCTCTCACTGGCAGAAACAGGACTTTTCAGGCCCACAATGTTGCTCCTATTGTGCACAACTAATTTTGCGGATGTACGCTCAATTTCACATAATTTCCCAGGATTTATCCGCTCATTTCCTGCCAAAAAAAGTTTATAGAATTAAGCTTCCCCAAATACAAAGATCTTAAGGTCCACTACTATGTTTAAAATCAGCCACAACAACAATTAAGGGGCTACTATTTAGTTTACATCAGTAGTATAACTGCGTGAAAGGACCAACAACCCCAGGTGCTGACAGAGCAGGACAGGAAGCTTTCCCTGCCTAGCCACTACCACTGCCCAAGTCAAAGAAACTACTTCTTACACGTCTGCCTCATGTTCTTGAATAGAACAACCTGAATGGTTCATACTGGAAGACCAAATTATTAAGGAATGCTAAGAAAGATTACATAAATAAATAATTTCACTGTAGTCAACTGAATAAATTAAAATTGTACAGTTGTATAAATTGCAAGGTATTAAGTGCTTCATCAAAGATGGTGAGTACCCTCAGTTCAAATGACAGTATACATAGTCTTCATAATACATAAGATCTCTCATAATACATGAGATCTTCAGAAGTTCATAAATGTTCATAAATATTCTCATCATAAACATTCTCATCACAAAAATTCACAGGAATGATTATGGAAAAAGCCTTAACCATAAATGACATATACATGTGGGACGATCAACTGCAGGACTGTCAAGTGGGTGCAAAACTGGTTGCAGGGTAGGACACAGAGAGACCAAATGAATGGATTGGTGTTGTCCTGGTGAGATGTGGGCAGTGGCATACCCCAGGGGTCAATACTTGGCCCAGGGATGTTCAATATCTTCATCAATGACCTGGATGACAGGCTGAAAAGCCCATTGGCCAAGTTCGCAGGTGACACCAAGATATGGGGTTGTGCGGGCACACCCGGAGATAGGCTGCAGATACAAGCAGACCTAGACAGGCTGGCATGTTGGGCAGAACGGAACCAGATGAGGTTCAACATAGAGAAATGCAAAGTGCTGCATCTGGGAAGGAAGAACCCCTAGCACACCTACAGGCTGGGCATTGCTAACCTGATAAGCACTACAGATGAAAGGGATCTGGGGGTAACAATAGACCCCAGCATGAATATGAGCCAGCAATACAATGCTGTAGCTGCTAGGGCCAATAAAACTCTGGCATGCATCAATCAATGCATCTCCAGGAAATCCAAAAGAGTGATTCTCTCACTTTACTCAACATTGGGGAGGTCGCAGCTGGAGTATTGCATCCAGTTCTGGGTGCCGCACTTCAACAGATACGTGCTAAAGCTGGAGAGGGTCCAGAGAAGGGCCACCCACATGATCAGGGACTTGCATGGCAAGCCATATGAGAAAAGGCTGAGGGATCTCAGACTCTTTAGCCTAAAGAAAAAAAAGCTGAGGGGGGACCTGATTGCGGCTTACTGCTATATCAGAGGCATACATCAAGGTCTCAGTGAACACCTGTTCACAAGGGCACCCTGGGGGAAAACTAGAAATAATGGTCACAAACTCCTGGAAGATAGTTTCTGGCTGAACATTAGGAAAAACTTCTTTACAACTAAAGTCACTATGGAACAAGCTCCCCCCAGAGGTGGTACAATCATCTACCCTAGAGGTCTTCAGGAGGAGACAGGACAGTCACCTGGCTGGGGTCCTCTGACCCCAGATGTCTATCCTACTCATGCAGGGGGCTGGACTCGATGATCCTTCAGGGTCTCTTCCAGCCCTATGATTCTATGTCCAATATATGAAACTTCAATCAAAATCAACTTTTCCTGGCAGAGATGTAAACCCTACAAAAAGTATATTCATAGCAGCTGACTCAGCCTTAGATACTGTTGCAATGGAATAAATAAGGCATCACTCTAATTTTTACTGTACATGGTAAATAATTTCAAGACAAATAAATACTGTTAATTAAAGTGCATGCTAATGGTTATAAGATGATTCTTTTAAACAGGTAGCACAATTTAGAGACTTGCATAGATATGTATGAAATTAAAATCAACAACCAAAAAACTGTCACTCAGATGCAATTTGCACCAACAGCTTATAAATAAACCAGGCACTTTAGCTATTTGCTTAGGTTCCTGTACCATGGTCACTTAGTTGCACTGATTTTGCAGTTGTGTTTATTCCCAGTATTTTCAGAGCTGGGCTTCTGAATTTCTGCTTTCTGCTTTTTACTTATATTCCTGAAAAATTCCTGCTCTCTTTCATGTTCCTTTTTAAACCCTATCCCACCTACGATACATTTTGGTATTTCTGAGCTGTCATTCTTACCTATGATTCATTTCTGCATGTTTTGTCATTCCTAATTTTGCAGTTTCTAGAAACAGCTGAGGAATATGGCAGGTGATAGATCTACAGGAAAGAAGAAAAAAAATCTTGAATTTCTTGGTGAAATAAATTGAAGGCTGTGACATTTTCAACAGTCCATATGGAGGTGATCAAACTGCCTCAAAAGGACATCAAATGCTTCCCTACTGGGAATGTAATATGAACGCCTATGACACTTCAATCACATGCTCTTCTCTATTCCATGACATCTATGCCTGAATCAAACAGTATTTTCTGTAATTTTGTGCTTTTTTTTCTAGATCTCTGAAGCACTGAATACACTTGAATCACTGGTACTCTGGAGATAACATTGCACAGAATACAACCCCCTCCTCACCTGGTATCCCCTCAGCTAGGTTTGAGTCCATTATTATAACTGTTTCATCACTGAAGATGAATTTTAGCACTAAGAGTTACAAATCAGTTCATAACCACTGAAGAGTCACCTGATTAATGTATACTTAACTAGAAATATTGACAGCATAATCTCCAAAAACTCATCTATGTTCCCCAGGGAGTTTAAGAGTTATAACAACCTAAATCAATACTATTGGCAAAATGAAACATCTAGAGGTCTTGAAAAGACTGCACTGTGCCAAGTCTATAGGGAAGATGTTTTATATGTAAGGAGTTGGCTTTTTTTTTTTTTTTAAGGTAAGGGGCTTCTAATCAATGTCTCCAGTTCATTTTCTTATATTGAAATGCAAATTTTCTAATTTCTTTCATCTATGGGTTGACGTGGCAATGACAGGATGCAATCAAGCCAGATATTAGCTCAAATCAAGAGTTGTAACTCACTAATTAGTCTCATTGTTGTCATGGTGCTTATAAAAGGCAAATTCTAATAATGGCTATTTAAATTTCGCTTTGCCTTATTTGCTTTTAATTATTATGTATCTCTTCTTTTTGACACTTCTTGGAACTGTTTCAGCATTAAATTTAAGCAGGGAGTACTTAGCAATTTGAAATTTGTACACATGCTAGTTTCATTGCAGCCAGCCCCACAGCACTTTCATTAAAATCTCGTACAATAGACATGACACCGTGCAGTGTCTGATCTTCATACTGGGATTGGGATTGGCGAGTGAGCTGTAGCAATGCTGGTCTGATTTTCAGGCTTCTCCATAATTCCCATTAAAATCAATGGGGACTGTAAATTCTTTAAACCTCTGGAAAACGGTTCACATGCTTCTTACTCAATAGAGAAGTGTGACGGTTCAAAGGCAAACAGCCAATAGATGCTCCCTTCCGGTAAACACCTTGATGGACATGCTGGGGACCTGACTATATTGAGGCCAAAGGCAAAATTCCCATTAACATGATTGCACCCAGGATTAGGTGACTTTGAAACCTGTAAATCTGGAAAGACGCAAAAAGACAGAAAGCTTCATTGGTTCACCTGATTAGTTGTAATTCAGGCTTCTGGGGAAGGCCCATTGTACTCCAGTGGGTTAAACGGTGTCTCATCTGCCTACATGATTTCCTGCCAAAATGGCAGATGGCATGTATTCAAAAATTGTACATTTCAGAGCCTAGCTTCAGTTACCCTTGGTATCCTTTCCCAAGTTAATGATGACAACCAGGATTTAGTAGGAAAACCAAGTGCATGAATTATTTCTCTCTTTCTTGGAGGGCTGTTACACAATAGATTTTACGTAAAGGAATTTCATTCCTATTTAGGTATATTCCTACAATCCAGACTGGCAGATAGTTGACATTTATCCCTTTTCACTTATAACCCAAATGTCTAAGTTTCTCAGATGCAGAGAATATCTGGTCAAGGAATGGACAGGCAATTTTTTTTTCTCCAAAAAGGCTAGATGCATCATTTTTAAGTATAAGTAAAATATCAAAAGATCACAATTTTCACTCTCAAGCACTAGACACTTTTAGAAAAATGGGTCAACAGCCTTTATCAGCCTTGATACTAGTATAAGAGCTGTCTATCTGAATTAGTCACAGGAAACTTATTTTAGTCAATTGGCTAAAGGCAGCTGACCTCTTCATGCTTCTACATAGTATATTGCTAAATACAGTGCTCTGAAGGTTGCTTCACTCTTCAAACCACAGAAGATTAGGCTAGATCATAAACTTCCTTCTTTACTTGTAAATTCCATTCACTGAAGTAAAACTGCTTCAAAAACTGACACGTGTTGTCTATTTATCCAGGCTTTTAACACCATCACCTGAGATTCTGATCTCATCAGACATACCCTGAATAATCAATCTTACTTCTCAGAGTGGAGACCCCAGTGATGCAAGGAGTGATGCTAGTGACTTAGCACACAGCAATCTCCCTTCAATCAAGGCCAATAATGAGTCAAGCCGAGAAGAAATGCACTGTGAAAATCCTTAGTCTCCTTCTGCTGAAGCAACCTCAAAAATAGTGCTTCTATACAAAATGGCTGCCTCTTGCCTCCTTAGAAATGGATGAGCGACAATGGATTTGGCAGCAAAATTAAAACGAAAGTCCACAGATGACCAAAATATTATTAACAAAAAAATGTAACTTGAAAAATGGGGTTTTCATAACTGAGTTTTTCATGATTAAACTGTTACGGTTGTTTATGAAAGTTGTAACAAAAACCCTAAACATTTCCAAAGGTTGTGAAATTTGAAAAACTGTCATTGAAAATTCTAATATAATAAAAGCCTTACCACTTCCGGTTATGTGTCTGTCCGTGATGCACCAGGCCATCTGCGCATGTGCAGTCTGGAGCCTTACTGATGGAGAGACAGAGAGGCAGAGGTGGGGGCGGAGGAAGTCAGGGCCAGGGTGTGCTCCCCACTGCAGGGCACGGAGGGGGGAGTGACCCCCGGCTGTGGTGAGATGCTGCATGGGGGGGCTTGGCTTGCAGCTGTGTGGGGGTGTGTGGCATGCGGTGCGCTGGGGAGGCATGCCCCCCACACCTGCTCCCCGCACTGGACATGCAGCCACATGCCATGCCATGCCCCCAGGCACAGAGCCCCAAGAAGAGCACGTGGCCATGGAGTGGGGTGTACTACTCACACCTGCTCCCCACATGGCATCCTGCAGCTGCACGCCATACCCCCCTGTGTGGGGAGTACCCGCCAGCTGCAGCCACAGGGCACACAGCTACAGGGTGCCATGAGGAAAGTGGCACGGACAGCACCCACCAGCTGTAGCACATGGGATGGGGAGCACCTAAATGCCCTCTCCCCATGTGGTACCCTGCAGCTGCAAGCCAAGCCACCCCACTTGCCTTGTCTCCCCCATGCAGGGAGTGTCCACCAGCTGTGGCCACGGGGCACACAGTGGGGGGGGCAGCACGGGGTGCACAAGGGGGTGTGACATGTGGCTGCAGCATGCCACTCGGGGAGTGGCACAGCGGGCACAGGTAGCACTCACCAGCTGCAGCATGACTCCATGGGGTGGGGAGTGCGCACCACGCCCACTCCCCACGCAGCACCCTGAGGCCGCGCACCACCCCACCACCTCGCCCGCATGCCATGACCCCAGCATGCCTTGCACCACACCACAGGGCCACACCCTACACCACATGGCAGTAGCCATCTGGTGCTCCCCACGCTGTGGCCACTTCCCACACCATGACCTGCAGCCATGTGCCACCCCTACTTCCACGTGCACCCTTGCACCAAGCCCCCTGCTGCCCAGCACCACACCTTGGGGCTGCTGCCTAAGCCACACCCCATTGCAGTACACCCCCCCATGCAACCGTATGACACTCCTCCCCATGTGGCCTGCACCACACCCCAGGGCCACTCCCCATGTCACATGGGTGCAGCCAGAAGGTGCTCCACTCATTGTGGCTACTCCCTGTGCCACACCCCAGCAACACCCCACTGTGGGGCTGCACACCATGCCCCCCTGAGCACCTTGTGCCACACCCCAGGGCTGTGTCACACAGCCAGTGAGCACTCCCTTTGTGGTGGCCACTCCCCGCGCCATGCCCCATGGCCATGCGCCCCCCCCCGCCACTCAGCCACATGCCACACCCCCCTTGCACAGAGTGGTGGGGAGAGGGAGTGGAGTGGGGCTGGATGCAGAGTGGTAGGGGGAGTGGGGCACGGCCCAGAGCGGCAGCAGGAGGGAGGTGGAGCAGGGCAGGATCCAGAGTGGTAGCAGGGGGGGAGCGGGGCAGGTTCTGGAATGGCAGCAGGAGGCAGGGGAGTGGGGCTGGACCCAGAGCAGCAGGGGGAGGGCGCAGGGCCAGATGCGGTTTTCTGTCCCCCCTGCCCCGTCATTCATTATGGGCATTTTGCTACTTATTATATAAATTCCTATTTGCTCCGATACACAGTTTAGCTCAGATACAAGCAGGGAAGTATACTGTACCTTACAAGAAATCACCTAAACATATTAAATACAGTTATGTACCTGTTCACAAATCTTCATTAATATCACTATGGTTTCTAGTTTGCATGTGACAGTTTCAGGCTTGTAGAGGGTATGCAAGGTACCTTGAGCATGTAGAGATCAGAGCACAAAAAGACACGAGTCAGGTTCTCCAAATTCCATTGAAATCAACAACATTACATAAAAGTAGGATAATGGAGTAAAGAATGATTCAGGGGCATGTGAAGGTGTCATTTTCCACAATCTGTAACAGGCTGTCAGTTTAAATATAATAGTCACATACCTGATTATTCACATAACGGAGATTATTATTCTATTCAATATAATTCTGAAGCTACTTGCTACCAAACTTAAGTCAATGTTATTCAGAAAACCAGAAAGAAAAATCTGCCCTATCTTGTCTTCTAGGCACTGCAGAAATGAAAACGCAACACTGCATGTTGACACAAAAACACTTTTTGAAAGGAAACAAACCAAAACAAGCTCCCATCCAAGGCTTTGATACTGTGGATCAGTTGAGCAGTACTACAGCCTTAAATGTTTCTCCCCTGTCAGTCACTGAAATGCTAACTTAGGGTACGAAACACCTGCCAAAACCCCCCAGAGGGCTACCTCTGTACAGCTGATATTTGAAACACAGCTTCTCCAGCAGTTAGTCTATCTCTATCAGCACAGCAGCAGTTTCCCTTTATTCCACTCTATAATGCACATGCTGCTCTCACAGGTGCTTCTGCATTTCTTTTCCTTTCTTTCCAGCTGCCTTGCTCTGACAGCCTTTTAAATAACCACTGCACCTATTGGGTGACTTTTAACAGAAAAAGCTGAGCATAATTGGTAATATATTTCCCAGGAAATTCATTAGTCAAAAGGATGACATTTCTTCTATTACTTCAGCTCTTACACACAGGACCATCATTTCATTTTCCATTTCAAATTTAAATCTGCCTCAAAACCTTCCATATCACATTATACTACACCCTGTCTTTTTGTGGGGCTTAATATGGCAGGAAGAAATTGTGTTTAGCAGTCTAATGCCCTAATTATTCTTTATATTGCAATGGTAGTGCTGTTGGCAGTCAGCAGGGGAATTTCAAATTCCCTGCCGTCCTGATCATTCAGAAGCAGTTGTTGCTGCTGGATCAGATCCTGATGCAACTTTCTGGAGTCCCAGCTGCACAAGGATTCTTACACCCATGGGGCACATCCAGACAAGCATGCATGTGCCTCTTGCAGGGTCTCAAAACCCTTTGAGATGCTGCAAGAGGCATGTGAGGGAACAAAAAAAACAAATTTGCAGCATAGGGGCAAAATTAAACCCCTGGATATCCAGGGGTCAAAAAATACCCCAGAGGGAAAAAGTGTGGCAGGGCATTGAGGTGAGGGCCAACCATAGAGACACTCTGGCTGGCTACCAGTGCCTCTGTGGAGGACCCGAGCCTCTGGTTGCTTCTCTATATATATAGTGGTCTTTTGGTTTAATTGTGGAGGAACATGGATTTTGGGGCATTTTACAGAGTGACTTTGGGGGTTTTTTTATCAGGAATTCTTCAGTTTTCAAATAGGGAACACCAGACTTCCTGCAAGTGTCAGGACCCAGGCAGAGGAGCCTGCTCAGAGCTGGCACCTTGGACCCAGCTGGAGGTGGTTGACCTCCTGATCAACTGGGCCCAGGAGAACATGCTTTGGCAGTTCAAAGCAGGCCACCACACATGGAACATCTTCCAGGTAATAGCTGCCCAGATGACCAGGCAGGGGGCACACATAGCTGTAGTGCCGCATGAAGGCCAACTGTGTAGCCACAGCCCACTGGCAGCTGGCCCAGAGGAGCAGATGCCTCTACCGGCTGGGCAGTCCCCATCTGGGTCTGGCAGGTGTGCAGCAGGTCACAGCCAGGCAGCATCCCCCACTGCCAGACTGCTGCAGTGGGTAGAGGGTGCAGGAAACACTCAGGGCTGCTTCAGCAGTCCAGCTGGCACAAGGGGTAGTGTCCCCAGGTACTCATTAGCCAGGGCCCAGAAGTTCCTGTCTATTTGTATCTTCCAGAGATCATGGGCCTTAAGGCCCACCTAGTTAACTAATAGCCCGCACTGTATGGGGCCAAAGTTTGAAAGATACAACGGATCATTTATTTTATTTTGGTGGGACAACTAGGGAAGAAAAGGGTAGGAGTAATGTGGGGGTCAAAGGTTCAAAACATGAAAATGAATGTGCCTAAAGGGGACACCGAGCAGAGTCCCCCAGGTCACACCCAGGGGTTCTCAAAGGCATCCAAGGAGCCAGTGGATGCCACCCACTGGTGCTCTGCCCAGAGATGTGCATGGCCAAGTGAGAGGAAAGTGGCCCCACAGTCTCCGGATACCTTCCCAGCCAGCGTCTCCTTCCTGGTCAAGTACAGGGCCCACTTGGCCAGGGCCAGGAGAAGGTTGACCTGGAGGTCCTAGGACTTGGTGGGGCTGCGGATGTGGTGACCAAAGACAAAAAGGTGGGGGGTGAAAGTCAATCAGAACCTCAGGAGGAGGTTCTGGAGGTGGAGGTGGAGCTGGAGGGGCTGCAGCCTGGTGCAATTGAGGGTCATATGAACCAGGGTTTCCCTCTGCTCAAAGAAGGGGCAGGAGACCGGGGTGTCTGTGAAGCTTGCCACATACACACCCATGGAATGACTCCATGGAGGAGCCACCAGCTGAGGTCCCTAGTGGCTCATGGGATGAGGATGGAGTACAACTCAGCCACTGGGGTGCCCCAGCAACACCCTCACTGAGCATGTCTCACCACTTGGTGTCTGGGCAGGAGGCAAGGGTGGCATGATGGATCGTGTGGCACACAAGCATGTAGACATGGCAGTGATGGACGGTGGAAAAGCGGACTGGTCTGGTGTCCTCCTGCCAGCTCAGGTGGTGGAGTGTGGAGCGCTGTGAGACTGGGGGAGGTGCTGGCCCCACAACAAACTCCGGTAGGTTGGAGGATACAGTGGGGGAGGGAGGCAGGGACTGCCACCGTACAAGACCCGGTCGACAAGGGCAAGGGCATTGGGAAGTAGGGCAGATTTCACCTCCTGGACCAGACGGCAGGTTGCATGTGTCATGGTTAGACCCATGCACCGGGCCAGCACAGCGGGGTCCACCCACACCTGCCTAAGGGCTTGACAAGCAGGTTGGTGCCCTGGGTGAGTGTTGCAGGGGACCTGGAGGTGAAGACCAGCCTCCAGGCCTGGAGGAGGTCCTTGTAGAACTCTGGCAGCCATTGTAGGTCCTGAAGGGAGAAATCCCACAAGCCAAGGAGCTGCCAGTCATATTGGAGCCCCTGGAAGTGGTGGAGG